TCCGAGCAAAGGAATGAATGGAAAATCATGATCGCCGCTGTCTGTAGCAGATCTGGCACTGGATGAGGATGATGATGATGATGTTAATTAAGGCCTGTTTCATTGTTGAGTGTGTCTCTCTAAACATGATGAAAGTTGCACCTCCAGTAACACAGCCTGTAAATGTACTGTTGTGTGCTTTGTTGAGACAGTTGTGAGTGCGTGGTTGGCAGGTGCTCTGGTGTGGTTTGCTTCTTCTTTCCTATCAAACATCTATCGTCTTTATCTCCCCTTCCTTCTTTTTTATAGTTGTTACTCTCTTGTAACGCCTCTACTCTTCAGCACTTGTATGACCTTATTGTGTTGCAAGTGCCATAAGACTCTTACTAAATCTAAAAACTAAAAGACAGTTGTGTTCTGTTTTCAGAACTGGTTTCTGGAATTCAAGAAATGGCTGGGCACAGAGAGGCTCAATGTCTACGCCGTGTCTTCTGATAAAAAAGTGCAGGTAAGAAAATTTGTGGTGTTTTCTTGCTAATCTAGAACTTAGGTCAGGGTAGAACTATGGCTAATGTTGAACTTTTCCACTCTAGTAAAAGTCATCTGGCTCTATATTTGCACAGTGTGCACAGTCGAAATTTCCAAGATGGCCACAAATTGTCAAGGAAAAAAGTGGTTGTCTTAGACAGATGAGCTTCTTGGACAGTTTCATTTCAGTATTGAAAAAAATGCAAGGTGGAAAGTCGGAAGTAGCCCGGCTGGCTGTTGATTTGTATTTAAACTGAAAGACATACATGACGAAATTTGTACTTAACTGTGCCCAAGACTGGACATTAAATGAAATATGAGAGTGAACATAGCTTCTTAGGTAGGAAATTGGCACTCATATGACCTTATGCAGTTGCGAGCGCTGTAAAACCTGTACTAAAACTAAAACTAGGTAGAAAATTTCAAAGTTTGTGTACTGTGTGTCGGAATTTTTGGCCCTCTTTCTCTTTTGCAGGATTTTATCAAGTCAAGTAACCACCAGGTGCTAGTCATTTCCTATGAAATGTTTGTGAGAAATTACGAAGACGTCAAGCAAGTGCCGTTTGATCTGATCATCTGTGATGAAGGTCATCGTCTGAAAAACACCGCCATCAAAACCACCTCCGTAAGTTTTTGGTTTGCTGTTGTAGTTTGTACAGAAAAAGGGGAAGACGTGGAGTGACATCAAGCAACTAGCCCAGGATAGGGAAAGGTGGAAGGTGTTTGTTCGTGGCCTATATCCTGATCCAGGGTGAGAAAGGCAATGATGATGTAGTTTATCCACCAGCGTCTGTAGTGTAGTAGTTAGGTGCTTCGTTGTCGCATGCAGGAGACCTGAGTTTGATTCCTGAGTGGGGGGGAAATTTTTGTCTTAGTATTATCTTGGTCTTTCTTCTGTGAGTTGTATCCTTCTCAGCCTCGGTTGGTGGGTGGTCTGGTGTGGTTTGCTCCTTCTTTTCTATCAAACATCTATCATCCTTATCTCCCCTCCTTCTATTTTTTGTTTGTTACTCTCTTGTAACACCTCTAATCTTGGGCACCTTTGTTACTTTATTGTGTTGCAAGTGCTGTAAAACTCTTACTAAAACAATCAGCCCAGGTTGACCCCGACAGGCAGTGTGGGAAATACATCTTTTTAATGATCGAAATTGTGTCATCAGGATCATAAAAACTTTATTTAAAAAATTAATTTAGGTTTTTCTTTTTTTTTTTGTTTGTCCTGAAAATGTGGATGCTTGGAGTGTGCAACGGTGTGTCAAACTTTAGTGTGCCAATTTTTTGTCACAGTAATCTTCATTTTCAAACGTTAATGTGCCAATTTGTTTCATTGTAGTCTTCATTTTCAAACGAAATTCCCCCCCCTGTTTTTTTTTTTTTCACTGTAATCTTCAAATGTTAATGTGCCTGTTTTTTTTTTCACTGTAGTCTTCTTTTTAAAATATCGTTTTATTGTGCCTGTTTTTTTCCACTTTAGTTTTTAAAATGTCATTGCGCCTGGGTTTTTGGGAGTGTTTTTTCACTGCAGTCTTGAAATGTTAGTGTGTCTGGGTTGGGTTTTTTTTTCAGCTGATCATGAGCCTCCCAAGCAGGAAGCGAATCGTCCTCACAGGAACACCCGTACAGAACGACTTGCAGGAATTTTATTCCATCGTCGAGTTTTGCAACCCCGGAATTCTTGGTGAGTGTTTTTGACGTCATGCTTGTTTTGTATTTGTTCTGTGTGTGTGTTAAGAAGTGTTTGTATGTTTTAAAATGTGAGTGGTTGTATGTGATGAAAATTTGATTCTGATTATGATAATAATTCACATTCAAATAGCTCATATCCCTTCTGTTAGAAAGTATGGTTAGACAGGAATAACTCAAACACATCCAAGATGGACTAATATGCTCAACATATCCCAAATTCGTGTTAACTGATGACGAAAAATTTAAGGGATATCTGTTGGGGAATAGCAATTTGTGTGTACGAGCTGTCCGTGATTTCAAGCTTCCCTTGTACGTGTTATCTGTGCTCGTCTTGTAGTTTCTATTAACTTTGCTATTTATAGTTACTCCTTAGACTTTATAACAAGTTGCGAATCCAGACCATAGGAAGTGGGTGGTTGGCAGGTGCTCTGGAGTAGTTTGCTTCTTCTTTCCTATCAAACATCTATCGTCCCTATCTCCCCTCCTTTTTTGTGTTT